CTGGTCCAAGCGGGTAACTTGGAAAACTACAGATGCTGTTGCTCTGCAGGGACAGTGATCACTATTAAAAGGTCAGTGTTACTACAGTGAGTTATCTAGATACAGCAATTAGAACCTGAACCAAAGCTCACTGAAGTCAATAGGAGTCCTTTTTTCCCTCAGACTTTGAAGGAGGGATAACTACAGTGACTCAGATATTGTGGCATGGTAACGTGTTCATAAATAGTAGCCACTGTTTGTAGCTCTAAATGAGAAGTGATGGTTAAAAATCCAAATATTTCTAGCGGCCGATATCACCCCATTTTTATTTAATTTCATGTCATTTAGCTACAGCTTTTTACCTACAGGATTTTTTTCCAAGTAAAAGTACTAGAAAATGAAGTTAGGATAGGTAAAATTCCCTTGCTAAAAACATTGAAAACTTTTAAAAAGCAGGAATGCACAATATTAAATTAACGTTTAAAGGTGTTATCAGTACTTAATTACATTTCATAATTTTGTTTGTTCTCTATTGTTTGCAATATCGTCTCAGATGCTAGAAAATAACAATCCTTTTTAGGCAACAGTATTACATATATATATAGTTTATTTATTTTATTTATTATAGGCCCAATGTGAACTAACGTCTTTTAGAAATCATTTTTGATGACAGTGGCCAGAATGTAACTTCCTTTTCTTCACTGAATCATTGTTAAGTATTGGGTGTTATCCATATTCTAATTATGTTAAGGTTTCTTAACATCTTAGGCCTAAATTAGCAAAATAATATCTGTGTGAAATAGTGTTAAATGTCCACAACAAATACACATAGGAAAAGACACTGAAAGCAAGATAGTGTTTATCCTGTAACTACACACTACAGAGCATTCTGCATTGTCGATTTTAACTCTAACTGGGAATTGTAACTTTTATGAGTTGAGTGAATTTTCTTTTCTCTTCTTTTTTGTTGATGTGTTTTAGACCAGCGCTTCTCAAAGCCAGTCTGCTGCTTGTTCAGGGAAAGCCCCTGGCGGTCCGGGCCACGGTTCGCCATAACAGGCCAATGTGGGCTGCGGGAAGCGGCGTGGGCCAAAGGATGTGCTGGCCGCCCTTCTCGCAGCCCCCATTGGCCTGGGATGGCGAACCGTGGCCAGTGGGAGCCGCAGTCGGCCGAACCTGAGGATATGTCAGGTAAATAAACTGGCCCGGACTGCCAGGGGCTTTCCCTGAACAAGTGGCGGCCTGACTTTGAGAAGCACTGTTTTAGACCAAACCATTTTAATTATTCTGTTTTTAAAATAATACATTAACACATTCATCTGGCCTGTCTTGGTACACCTCTACCCTGATATAACGCAACTCGATATAACACGAATTCGGATATAACGCGGTAAAGCAGCGCTCCGGGGTGGGCAGGGTTGTGCGCGCCGGCGGATCAAAGCAAGTTCAATATAATGCGGTTTCACCTATAATGCGGTAAGATTTTTTGGCTCCCGAGGACAGCGTTATATCGGGATACAGGTGTATGTAGATTGTTAGCTCTTCAAGGAAGGGATTCTCTTGTACTCCGTGTCCATACAGTACCAATCACAATGGGACATCAATCCTGACTGGGGTCTCTAGATGCTACTCTAATACAAACAATGAATAAAAATAACAGCGTAGCATGAAAGAAAACATTAAAGAAACTGGTTTCTGAGTGGTAGCCGTGTTAGTCTGTATCAGCAAAAACAACGAGGAGTACTTGTGGCACCTTAGAGACTAACAAATTTATTTGGGCATAAGCTTTCGTGGGCTAAAACCCACTTCATCAGATGAATGGAGTGCAAAATACAGTAGCAAGATATATATACATAGTCCATGAAAAGATGGGGGTTGCCTTACCATTTCTAACCAAAACAATTCAATTAAAGTGGGCTATTATCAACAGGAGGAAAAATCACTTTTGTAGTGATAATCAGGATGGCCCATTTCAAACAGTTGACAAGAAGGTGTGAGTAACAGTAGGGGAAAATTAGCATGGGGAAATTTGTTTTAAGTTTTTGCAATGACCCATCCACTCCCAGTCTTTATTCAGGCCTAATTTGACGGTGTCCAGTTTGCAAATTAATTCCAGTTCTGCAGTTTCTTGTTGGAGTCTGTTTTTGAAGTTTTTTTTGTTGAAGATTGCCACTTTTAAGTCTAAAGAAGAACAGGAGTACTTGTGGCACCTTAGAGACTAACAAATTTATTAGAGCATAAGCTTTCGTGGACTACAGCCCACTTCTTCGGATGCAT